CTTATGAAATTGTGCACCCTCAGGAAATTACTGCTTGCTTACCGAGACAACAAATGTGCGATCGATATTGCGGGCGGCCGACTGTGGTATCAATAACTTATTCGTTGGGTTCGTTAAGCAAGTGGGCAGGAAGTTTCATCTTCAGCAGTTGTTACGGATTCGCTATTGTTGGGGCTCGACCCAAAGACACATCTGTTCTTGGAGTACGTGACTTTTCGTATACTTGGGCGAAACCCACTCTCATTTTCTAGTTTTGAATTTTCAGTATAGGTATTTTAACTTCCTTTATTTTAGTTATTTATTTTTTATGTTACAAATGTTTTGGGGGAAGTATTTCCATTTTCAGTTTTAAGTTAAGCACGTGTTTTCGACCTATATGTTAGTACATATCTATTTTGACGTTATAGTATTTTGTATACTTATTTTTTACCTTACGTCCATATATGTTGTCAACTTTATATCCTATTAAAGTATGTTCTACTTTTACACTGATGGGGAAGAAAGTAAGAGCTTGGAGGCATGATAGAGGATTTTGCAACTCGCTCGTGACAATGTGTTTAACGAAACGCTTTATGAGATAACATGCTTACTGAGGCTAGTTTGAATTATTACTATTTTTCTGATAATCCATGTTCTTATAGAATATCTGATGGATGACGATATGATATTTAGAACATGTTTAGAACACCTCTTTATAGTATAAATGATGGATGACTTTATACTATGAAGTTGCTTTTCAATATATGTATGTTCACTGGTTTTGTACTTACCTAGTGGTCATTTCTGCTACGGGACGTAAGGATAGATTCTGGTCCGTCCCAGGCGACAGTTTGGTGTTGGCATAGTGCCTAAAGTGTGTTTCCTCTGGCTATTTAGCACAAGAACGGAGAGCCGGCATAAGGCCTGGAGTGTATTTTCTCAGACTGCCTGCTCAGAGACGGGGAGCTGGCATGGGGCCTGGGGGTTATCGGACATTCACTAGTGATTATTATATATAGAAGTTATGATTTGAGACATTGCACGACATGCTAGGTTTCGGAAAACCTATGTTTATCGTGATATATATGTGTTTTCATAAAACCTGAGGGTTAGTATGTTGATAACTGTTTTATTATATATATATATATATATATATCAACTTGGTCCACTCATGTTTGTTTTGTGCCCCCTTCAGGACTTAGAATCGAGGCATACAATCTCGGCGTCCAGGCACTTCCGCATCGGCATCTTCAAGTCCTCTCAGCGTAGGACCCATTCTTTTATTCATTCAATTTTATATTATTTCTTTTAGTGTTCTAGTTAGTTGTATGCTTTGAACACATTCCTTAAATGCATATTCATTATTCTTTTATATTTATAAGTCTTATATATCCCTTGTTTTCAGCATTTGCACTCAATAAATGGTTTTCATCACCCTCGAGTGTCGGCCAGCACGTGTCTATCCTGATATTCATGGAATATCGGGATCGGGGCATGTCATTAACATTACATTATTTGCTATGTATGTTGAGAGATTCTACCATGTCACTAGGATGCAGACACATTGGTATATACATATGTTGTGGCACATAAGATTTTCTCCTGCCAAAGATACAAGACAACATCAATTTTTTATCGAAATTTGGACCAAAACTCCAGCACTATTAACAGGAATAGAAGAACAAGTGCATGTAACCAATGAAAATTTAGATGGTAAATTAATATTTCGGCAATATAAAACAAAAGTGATTCTGTGAAGCATTGTCATAATTATCAGTCGGCTTTGGTTTTGAAGTTAAATGACAAACCAAATTATTGTAAAGCATATATGTTTCCTACACAGTTTTAATTCTTACATTATTGTAAAGCAATTCTCTTTCTCTATTAAAGAAGGGAAAAAGTCGTGAACTAGTAGTGATCAAGTGCTGTATTTCTGTCTTGCTCAATTGATTTTTCATTTGCAAATCTACTAATCAATGAATTAATATTTGAAATTCATGATCAAGGGGGTGGCCTATTCTTCAAAACCTTGCCTATTTTCTTTCATGATCTCCCCAAGACATGCGTAAAATAGCGAATCAACTAAAGCATACTTTTCATAATATTTAAATGCATAAAATAGAAAAGAAGAAAAACCCAAACAGTGTTACATAGAATTAGAGAAAGTCAAACCGTATGTTGTCTCAAACATGCGATATTCGGATGCCATACAATAATTTTTCAAATACCGCACATAATTCTTCTAGCTCTCTTTGTTAGGCATGCAAGCACTAATTAAACATGCATTATATTACGTATCAACTCGAAGAAAAAACATGACATAAGAAGCCACAAGTGATGTTGCTTAAAAATTATTCTCTCTTCTCTCTCACTCACACACATACACACTTGAATCACGTTGAAAAGATATTGTCGTGGTGATAAAGGATAAGTATTCATTAATATTTGAATGCATAACATTGAAAAGTAATGAGAAAAACAGGAAGAGGGTTAAAGCAAATTAGAGAAAATCAAATCCTACTTTGATTCCTCGGCTCCCCCTTACCTTAATTTATTTGACTGCTAAGCGTCTTTTCTTGATACTCTCTGTAATCTCCTATTTTGGCTGCCCTCGATGCGTATCTATCTTAAATTTCAGGTAGACGGATCATGGGCCCACTTCAACAACACCAATATTGTTCCCACTTGGCCACCTACTCAATCTGTCAGGTGTGGAGTTTTAATACAAAAGACTTTGATATTAGTTAGTGGGGTAATTCTATTTAAAGGGCTTGTTCTCAAGCCTTCTGACCGATGTGGGACAGAGAAATTCTAACAATCTGCAATTCTGCTAAGCTTCTTCACCTCAATCTGCAAGCACCCCTGGATCCAAAGAAACATGCTTGTTATTTTGGAGAGATTGGAATTGCACCCTTTGACGTGTGTACTGGGAAAACTCGCCTGGCTAAGTAACCTGGACCAGTCTATTTTTAATCCCTTTACTTTTCATCCGATGCATGCGATATTGGATGCGTTGGAATTTTGACGAGCCCATGATATATTGAAACAATAGAAACAACAAAAGATAGAAATAATACTCAAAATTAATGTGCGTAAAAATGGAATATCTAAATATGCTCTCAATTGAAATAGCAACTCTTTTGACATATCTCACATCCTCTATTTCTTGATTTTTTTTTTTTTTTCTCACTCATGTTGAACATAGTGCTCATGGCAACTTAGAGGTTTGGCTCCTTCAAATTTGTAAGGTCATAATCTGTGTATATTGTAATGGTTAAAACCTCATGACGGTTATGTGAAAAAATAATAAATTTGATGGGGTTATTTGAAAGGGTGTCCGTGTAATTATCTCTAAGTGTAAAATTATCATTTCAATAACTTTCTATGATATGATAAATTTTCGGATGAATTTTAACTGACAGAGTTTTTCGAAATCAATTTTAAACTTCAAGCGGTGTTAATATAATTTCAAATTTTTCAATTAGTTTTTATGAAAATACAAAAAATCTCAATATGGATGTTATAGTACATAAATTGGAATGTATAATTTGAGTGTAAGTGATAGCATGAAACTGCTTTGATAAATTAGCTTAATCTACAAATGCACGAACTACATGCCCGCCTAATTAACACATGACTCGAACAGTCGAACTTAACACAATGTGTGATCGATCATCTTTTGACCTAAAAGCTAATAAACGGGTAATGAGTTATGACCTGATCATTATCAAATGACAAACCTATTTTATTGGCACCTTATGTACTTTGATAATTCAAGAGAGAGGAATCAAATTGTTATGTTACCCTGAAGGTGCACAATGGGATCGATCCAGTAAATATTATGCATATAAGAATATATATTACATCGATCATATGACAAAAATAATATAAAATTAATATGAGTTTTTCCACTCCTAATTTACTGAGGCCTTTTATAAAATTCAATCATAGTAATAGGTGTTTAAGTCGGGGACAATATCAGGACGTCGTGGGCCTACAAAGTTTATCATGGTATCCAAAGGCTATTCTCTCAACACTTCCTGGGCCCGAGTTACAGGTCTTGAACATGCTTCTTGAATTTGAGCTTTTGAAGAGATGCACTAGCTCCAATTAACTTAGGGCAACTAAATGACTAGGCCTTCGAAAAGATTAGCAATAGCTTTAGAGACTAAATATCGACCGACCTAGACAATTAATATATAGGAGTTTCCACCTATAATATCACCAATGTCTTTTGTGATAAAGTCCAACACTTGGTGATAGAAGGTTAAGTTAGAACTATATTAATAATATTGATGGTGAATTTGCATGGGTCTACAAAGTTTATCATTCTTATTATTGGTCTTAGCAACTACAAATAAGTAATACGTACATATATGAGATATACAGGCAGACTGAAAAAAATAAAACAAAAAAGAAAGAGAACTTGCACATTGTCTCAATAAATCTAGCTAGGGCAATTGCTTAGGACTAAAATAACAACATTATTTTTCTAATTAAACTTTGGTCGACCTTTAACTCATTGGCAGCATGTTGGTAGTGCGGTTGTGTATCATTTCTGTGATGGCTGCATGATTGACGAATGCCATTTTACCCATATCTAATTAATAAGCTACCAGGGTCCAATTATTGTAACTATATTTTATGAAAACAAAAACGAAAATGTAAACAAAACGAAACATTTCTTTATTTTAATTGTAATGATCAATCAGATTCAACTTGACAAGCAAGAAAGAACAGACTGGAAGGATCCCAGGTGAACTTTGCTTCTTCATCTCCTACCATGTGCCCAACAACTACGCTTCTTTTTTTGACCTGATCCTCTCTCTCTCTCTCAACCGAAAAAATCTTCACACTAGATAATTATTTTTTGTCATACTCAAACTGGATAATTTGACCTCCTAGACTTGTGTGAAGAAATTAAACAAAAAGACAGGCAAATTAACACGACATGTAGAAATGCAGCTCACTTGTACTATAAATAGTCTGCATATCTGCAAGCGCTGCAATGCAAACACAAAGCCTAGAATGGATTCCAAAGCAGTAGCTACTAAGCCTCATGCTGTTTGCTTTCCGGCTCCAACTCAAAGCCATATCAAGGCAATGCTTAAGTTTGCAAAGCTCCTCCACCATAGAGGTTTTTATATTACCTTTGTCAACTCGGAGTTCAACGACAAGCGATTTCTTAAATCCTTAGGCCCCAATTCCCTTGATGGCTTACCTAACTTTCGGTTTGTAGCCATCCCAGATGGCCTTCCAGATTCAGATGAAGATACCACCCAAGATGTCACTTTTCTTGTTGACGCCATAAGAAAACAAAATTTCTTGGGTCCGTTTCGTGACCTCCTCAATAAGCTCAACAATGATGCCATAACAACTTCCAACAATCCTCCAGTGACTTGCATAGTTTCGGATGGTTTCATGTGCACCTTCACAATCACAGCTGCTGAGGAGATTGGAACCCCTATAGTACTGTTCTACACTATTGCGGCATGCAGTTTCATGGGAATTATACAATTTCGTGCTTTGATCGAAAAAGGCCTGGCACCACTCAAAGGTGAAATAATACACACACACACACACACACATATATATATATATATATATATATATATATATATATCCGTGGCCGCACTTTTTTCAAACATCGTATATATATATATATATATCCGTGGCCGCACTTTTTTCAAACATCGTTTGACATACGTTTTTGATGGTCTCCTCAGCAATGTATTAATATTTTAACGATCCGAACTATATATCTTTTAGAACATCATTCGTAGGTCATTCTTTTAAAAATTAGACAAATTCAGAACTATTAAAACATTCATTGGTAATAAAGAAAATAGATGAATATGGTTTTACAAAGAAACCCTAAATCCTTAGTCTAACGGTCATATGATTTTATATTTGGATGATTGTTGGTAAACATGACCTTTGAGAGAAAACCTAAAAGATAGACAGATCGTTGATATATATTACGAATTGGGCCTCACAAAATGTCTGAAAAAATTTGTTTAAAAAAAAATGGCGTCATGCATCAGTCCCCTTATATATATATATATGTGTGTGCGCGCGCGCGCGCGCGCGCAGGTGTATATAACTAATAAAGCTTTAATTAATTTTTGGTTCGCTCTTAATTTCTTGTTTCTAAATGCAAATGAAAATTTTCTTTGTAGATGAGAGCTATTTGACAAACGGCTATTTGGACAAGGTCATAGATTGGATTCTGGGAACGAAGAACATTTGTTAGAAGGATCTCCCAACCTTCTTTCGAACCACAAATTCCAATGACATTATATTTAACTTCACGATGGAATCAACAGATAGATCCCATGAAGCTTCAGCAGTTGTAGTTCATACTTTTGATGCCTTGGAGCGAGATGTTTTGGATTCTCTCTCGTCTATGCTTCCACTTGTTTATACCATTGGCCCTCTTCAATTACATCTCAATCAAATACCAGAACACCCCTTGAATATTGGATACAGCCTATGGAAAGAAGAAACTGAATGCCTCGAGTGGCTAAACACCAAGGCTCAAAACTCAGTTGTGTACGTGAATTTTGGCAGTATAACGGTCATGACACCTGCACATCTAGTCGAGTTTGGATGGCGCCTTGCAAACAGCAAGCTGCCCTTCTTCTGGGTAATTAGACCCGATCTGGTAATTGGCGAATCAGCGATTTTGCCACCTGAGTTTGTGGCTGAAACAAAGGAAAGAAGTTTAATAGCAAGTTGGTGCCCACAAGAGCAAGTCCTTAACCATCCATCAGTTGGAGGATTTTTAACACACAGCGGTTGGAATTCAACCGTTGAGAACCTGACCTCAGGAGTGCCTATGCTCTGTTGGCCATTCTTTGCCGACCAGCAAATGGACTGCCATTATACTTGCAAGGAATGGGGCGTTGGCATGGAAATTAGTAATGATGTGAAGAGGGATGAAGTAGAGAAGCTTGTTAGAGAGTTAATGGCTGGGGAGAAGGGTAAGAAGATGAAAAATAAGGCAATGGAGTGGAAGAAACTTGCAGAAGAAGCTACCAGTCCACATGGCTCTTCATCCAAAAACTTGGACAATTTAGTGCATCAAGTGCTACTAAGAAAAAGTTAGATGCGCTGCATCCGTAAGAAATTTGTTAATGATTGTTATTCTTTTGTTTTTGTTGGTCTTCAAACTAGAAAGATGAGGTGCAAAATATAAAGGACCATTATCTCAAATAATAAAATCAAACTAGTATTTTTTTTTTTCCTTTAAAAAACGGGAACAACTGGTAGCAAGTTATGGTTATCCACTCCTTTCGAGGGCTGAGAAGACTCACAAAGTCATTTCAGCTTTCTTCTTGCCATAGTGAAGCAGACTCACCATATATTTTGGGAATACAAAATAGGAAAACAACAAAAAGGGAAAAAACAAAAAAAAAAAAAAAAGAGAGAAAGAGAGAGAGAGCTTTTATGAAAAAGGTTTGGACTAAGTTTATTTTAATAAAAACCATGATATAACTTTAATTAATGAAAAAAACTTAATTTTAGTAAAAAATAAAAAATAAAAAAACCCTACATTTTAATGAAGAGGACAAAAGAACTTAAATGGTAATGAAAATGACACAATTTTAATATACAAAAATTTAAAAAAATAAAAACCTAACGCATGTCCATCAAAGACACTGTTTATGAAACTGAACAATATTACATTATTTATGAAACTTAACGGTACTATATTATTTATGAAACTGAACGATATTATACTATTTATGAAACTTAACGGTACTACACTATTTATGAAACTGAACGATATTATACTATTTATGAAACTGACCGGTACTATACTATTTATGAAATTGAACGATATTATACTATTTATGAAACTAAATGGTACTACACTATTTATTGGTCCAGATTCATAAATAATGCATAATTCGTGGTTTAATTTCATAAATAGTTCCTAGTTATTGGGTTCAGTTTCATAAATAGTGTACAGTAATTGGTACAATTTCATAAATAGTATCTCGTTTTTTGTCCAGTTTCATAAATTGTGCCTAATTCTTAATCCACTTTCATATAGAGAAATTTTATTTAAACCCAAGAAACCTATTTCTACACCCAACTTACTCTTTGCACCCATTTGATTTTTAACTAAACTATTAATATCTCTTTAAACCCAAATTTAATACCTAATATACTCCCATAAACCCAATTCAATATGTGGATTTACTTTTACACCCGTTTGAATTTTAACTCTATTTTTACACCGTCTGAAAATGGACACTGGGAATTGGAATGTGAATTCAGTCGTGACTGACAACAAGATTGTCACTTTTATAGATGTTGACAATATTTTGAAATCTTCTCCTGGCATGATTCTTAGACTAATTCTGCATAGACATCAGACTCTCATAATTGACCCCTTCAATGGCTTCCGTAAAAGCATTCTTCTTAACATCATTATATATTTCCTCTCCTTGCTTGATTTATAGGCGTGAATATAGGTTATCTCCAGTAGCTATAGTTGGAGGTTCCTTCTTTCCTAGCTTTCTGGCCATAACATGTCAGAAGCTGCCGCAGCAGGCTGTGCCACTTGACTGGTGAATAGTTACCGCCAAATCAGATCGTTGGTTCTTGGAATAACACTGATAGCTGCTCACTTATTGTTCATTTCTCAAGTCCTCAAGTCGGGAATTTTTCAATATGGTATTGGAAATGCAACGTTTAAATCCTCTGTCAGTTCTCCAGGTGTGCAAAACTCCTACGCTCTGTCCTTCAAAGTCCTTGCAATATCTTGCAATATCTGCAAGTCCTTTTTGGTTTTTTGGGGTGCAGATGGATAGTGGGAGAGCTACTGCAGCAATTTGCTATTGCAGAAAGATAAACAAACTATGTGGGATTGATTGAAAAAAAAAAAGTAAAACCAAAATGCTCATCTTCTAAACTCCAAAAATTTGAGATCAAACGAACAAAAAATTTATAAATTGTGTCATACCTTGGTTAGAAGATTCAAAACTTCAAAATCACCATCCATCAATAAAAAATAAAAAAAAATTTCTCTATAAGAGCTATTAGGGTTTTAGTCAGAATGAAGTAGGATAAACAAAGAATGATTGTAGGGTTTAAGTATAGTATTTAAGTTTATTGATAAATTTGAGTTTTATTATTAATTTCATTTTGTACTTAATAGTAATTATGTAATAGGGTAAAATAAATAATTAACATTTAAAATTTAAGTTGGGTATAGAAATAGATTACATGGTTTAAATAAAATTTTCCTTTTATATAGTGTCTAGTTCTTGGATCATATTTTATAAACAATTCTAACTTCCTTCAATTCTCATCAAATTTCTTAGAATCTCTTCAATTTCTTAGCCTTCTACCCCAATTACTTAGTTTGGAAGAACTCGTTTCCTTCCGTTCTGCAAAAATCCCGTCTTCTCAATTTTAATAATGGCGCTGAATAACTCCTCTAATGCATTTGCTCCGCCACAACAAGTAACTTGACAAAAAAAATAATATATAATTATTTGAATTGATTCATCAGAACCGACGTTCTCAAAGGTCAATGCCTGAAATTGATTTTTTTTTTTTTTTTTTTTTAACCAATGACAACCTTCCCAGATTTTCTTTCTAAACTTTCCACGAAATCGGAAAAATCGTTTAATTTGGAAGGAAAATCACATAAACCGTGTACTAACACGATAATTTGGGTTCCGTACAAAAAAAAACAAAACAAAAATGTCTAGGAGAGAGAGAGAGAAAGAGAAAGAGAACCGACGAGGTTTTTTGTGCTTTGCTTGATAACCGTAGTGTTGTATTTGAAATATTATCCATGAAATTTGCAGTTTTCAAACAGAGGAATTCTGGGTTTTAAAAAGATTGTTGGGCATATGTTGACATTGGTTTGGGTTGGCAAGTGGGTTTGGGGTTGCACGGGCTTTCATTGTTTTTTCTAAATTTTTCTTCTTTTTTTGTTATTATCATTAAATAAAATTAATGTATGGTTTTTTTTAATTAAAATTTAAAGTTTTGAAATTTTTTTCATTAATTTTTTTTTTTTTAAAGGAAAAACTAAGATTCAACCCTTAATCATCAATGTTGTTCGACTGAAACCTCATTGACTTCAAAATTTTATTGAAGTCCTTTGACTTTTGTCTACGTCAAATTTTTTTTATTGAAGTCCTTGGAGGAGCATCACGGTTGCTCGACCTGTACTATTAAGAGGGCTGCGATGGCAAGACGGGGATGGTACATCCATCAAAATATGGGGCGACAACTGGGTGCCCCGAGAAAACTTTTCCAAAATCACCACGCCACCTCTAGTGCACTGGTGTGGTGAGGACACGATGTATAAATTATTTTTGGAAGGATCTCGCCACTGGGACATGGAACTTCTTAGTACTTTATTTTGCTCTGAGGAGAGTGAGGCTATAGAACGTACCCAACTGACTTAAGACCTATGGATCACAAATTAATATGGCATCATGAACTAAACGATATCTTTACCATCAAGAGTGCCGATCACTTGGCAAGAAGAGTGGTGGAGATGCACATGTAGGCCTGGTAAACGGCTCG